CTAAAGTTAATGTATAAAGGGTATTGTTTAGAGCACACAGTGTGGCCAAAATGCTGGCTCTGAGTGACATTATCAAGAGCCTTTTCCGAGGCTGAGAATTCGATATTTCTCTTCTGTCCCCTTCAATCTGACTAGACTGTAAGGGTTGTCAAATCAAGGCAAACTTCAACAAGACAAAGCTGGCAAAAAAGAAGTATAAAGCATACAACACATATAACACTGATTCCGGGAGGAACTGGGAAGGACACCGTTTGTCTTTCCAAACATAGAGCCTCCCTTGCCACGGGGACACTGAGGCTATGGTCACTGCTTGTGGCCTGCCAGGAAGTCCTAGACAAAGAATCGGTTTCAGGTATATTACTTACCTCAGGCTCTACCGATTCTGTGTAGTGAATGGGGTAAAACACGAAGATGCGCAGATGTGCTTCCCTGCTAAAAAGCACCAGCCTTCCTCGAAATGGATTCCTTCCCATTCCCACACTCTGCAATACTGTGATTGAGTCATGCAGCAATTAAAGAGAAAAATGCTACTACTGTGCTTCCAAATACATTATTTAATTTTCATAAAACAAATCAAACTCTTGGTCTTGAATGCTGAGAGAAGAAAATAAATGGAACCACAAATCTCTAACATTTCATATTAACACAATAGTTCAATAAGAGAGAAGTTGAATTTCATTTCACAAATGTTTATTGAGCACCTACTAGCTTCAGGGCATGCGCAAAATAAATACTACCTGGTCCTTGTTGTACACAAACTCGTGGTCTCTACTTTGAATCACACTCTTTCAAAATATAGTATCTATTGGATCAAGAGAAAAAGCTTTTATAATGATTTTTACAAATAAACAAAGCAGAAGCAGTTATACTTCAGTTAGGAATACTGGATACTCACAGGTGAACACGTTTTCAAGCACACAAACTCCCAGATTTTTGTCTCGAGTAGAGCCTTAAAAGGAGTTCTACAGGACAAAAAGATGGAATTTATGCTCAGGCGGGCCCGGATTGAAAGTCTAGCTCATCTCCTCACTAGTTGTGTGATACTGGGCAAGATACGTAGCTTCTCAATTTCTTCATCTATAACATGGGACTCATGGTACTGACCTCATGGAGTTGCTGTGATGATAAAATGAGATCATGCATTCAGGGCTGAGAGCTTGGCTGTTGTAGGCGCTCCACAATTGCCCCTTTCCCCTTTCCCCTTTTAACTGGGGTCATTGAAAAATAAGCAGTTAGATGGTTGAAAATGTGCAATTGTTTGTGTCTTCCTTTTTTAAAAGGAGCTAATACCGGCTCAATGTTTTGGAACTGATGCCTACAATGTGTTTCATGTCTTTCTGTCTTCAGAGAGAGTAACTCATCATTTGATAGCATAATCCTCTGATTCTCTGGGTCACACCAGCCTGAGGCAGAACAGCAACAGTAATAGCTCAGTGACAAAAGAGACACTGCCCCTGCTTGTATTGAGGGAAACACCCCTCCTAAAATCCTCTCCATGTGGTGCTGCAGTTTCTTAGTCATGATGCAGTTCACTGAGTGCCTACTAGGTGCTACTGAGGATAAAGTGGCCAAAAAAACCACTCATGTAGCCCTTGTTCTCAAAGCACTTGTACCTGGGTTGCTGAGCCACGTGACCACACAGATGCATGTTGGTAATCATTTGACTGCAACTCCTTGCAACAGTGGCAGATCTTAAGAAGAAGGTGTACGTGGTGTTATAGGAATCTTAAATAGGGAATTCATCTTAGGCAGGGAGATGAGGAGGCGATGCTTGAGCTGAGTGGAGGGCTGGGAAGAATGAAAAGGAAGAGGAGAGGGAAAGCATTCTAGTCAAAAGAACTGAAGGAGGCAAGTACCCGGGGCTGGAGTGCAAAGAAAGGTGAGGCCGGTGCCATGCACGGCCTAGTGGGCCTCGCCACGAGTCTTCTGCTTAGCTTAGGAACAATAGAAATCTCCCGAAGAGCTTTGTGTAGGGAAGTGGTATGATTAGATGGGAAAGATCATTAACACTGGAAACTGAAAGAGAGGTATGCAAACCTATTAGAGGGAATTATGAGTATCTTGAGAAGAGTTGATGGTGGCTTGGACAGGGTGGTGGTAGAAGTTGATGGAAGGAATTTTACAGATTTTAGGTACATTTAGGGGATGAAAATGATAGGAGCTTGCAGATGGTTTGTATGGAATTGGGGAGGAGGAAGGTAGGTTGAAAGGTGAGAAAGCCTTGAGAGATTCCTAGGATTCCACCTTGAAAGATGGATGAGAGGGGACAGAAGGAGGGGTCACTGAGCTGGGGAACACTGGAAGGCACTGGGGACATGAAAAGATCACAAGTTCTGTTTTGGGTGTTTGACCTTGAGGTTGCCATTGAGAAATATGAAAGATGTCAAGGAACAATTTCAATTCTTGGATCTGGAGCTCAGAGAAGCCTGGAATAGGTGCAACAGAAACCATTATTTTTTTTGGAGGAGGTCCTTAGAAACACCCTGAGATGAGGGGTCATGTACAAGTTACTTATTAAGGCTGTGTTCCCCTGGGAGACTGGTCAGGGAGTGGGGAGTGGAGCAGGGGAGGGAAGAAGCTGAGCATGGGGTTACCTCAGGGTAAGGTATTATCAAGGGGTGATTCCTGCAGAGGACAGGCTTTAGCCTGATCTCTCAGGGGCTCTGGTGAGTAAGTCACAGCTTCCCCAACTATTGCAAAGGAACCTCACTGGGAGGGGCTGTGCAAACTCCTGGGCAATCCCTGAGGGCAATCTTCCTCCACCTCTTCCTCCTCCAACGGCTGCAGGTGCAGCTGAAAGCACACCACAGCTGGTGAGGGGTGGGGCACAGAAACCCTAAAAAGAGATCCCAGGGCAGCTGGGTGGAGTGCTGACATCCTCACTATTGGGGTGGACAAGAATTGCCTAGGGAGATGGAATAAGAAGACAGATGCTCAAGACTGCTTTACTGAGGCCTTCCAAAACATACTGACTGATTAGAATAGAAGCTGAGAAAGGAGGCTGAGGACTATTGTTTCACAAGCATCCTGCAAAGACAGCAGCAATATACGTATTACGATCTCCATTATAAAGATGAGGAAAAGACTTGGAACCAACCCAAATGTCCATCAATGACAGATTGGATTAAGAAAATGTGGCACATATACACCATAGAATACTATGCAGCCATAAAAAAGGATGAATTAATGTCTTTTGTAGGGACATGGATGCAGCTGGAACCATCATTCTCAGCAAACTATCACAAGAACAGAAAAACAAACACCACATGTTCTCACTCATAGGTGGGAATTGAATAATGAGATCACTTGGACACAGGAAGGGGAACATCACACACTGGGGCCTGATGTGGGGTAGGAGGAGGGGGGAAGGGGGAGGGATAGCATTAGGAGATATATCTAATGTAAATGACGAGTTAATGGGTGCAGCACACCAACATGGCACATGTATACATATGTGACAAACCTGCATGTTGTGTACATGTAGCCTAGAACTTAAAGTATTAAAAAAAAAAAAAAGGAAAACCAAGGCTTGGGGAGGTTAGAAATTGAACACAGAGCTCCTGATCCTAAACCTAGTGCTCCTTTAAACCCAACAAGGGAAGGCTTCCCAGCATTGGAGGGCCCCGGTAGTGAAAAGAACTGGTCCTCTTTTGAAGGTGTTTATAGATGCCAGTGCTCATGGTTTAATACTCACGTTGCCAGATTTCAGAACCTGGGGAGAAAGGGAAGCCAGGGGATGATTTATGGTGATTTTTACAAAGAAATAAAGCAGAAGCAATTATACTCCATTTAGCAATACTAGACATTCATAGATGAACATGTTTTCAAGCACATGAACCCTCAGATTCTTCTCTGGCATAGAGTCTGAAATGGAGTTGTACAGGATGAGATGGGCTTTGTGCTCAGGCAGGCCCTGATTGAAAGCCTAGCTCATCTACCCGCCAGTTGTGTGATATCGGGCAAGATACCTAGCTTCTAAGTTTCCTCATCTGTAACAGAGGGCTCATGGTACTTACCTCACGGGGTTGCGTGAAGATAAATGAGATCACGCATTCAAGCTGAGAGCTTGGCTACTGTAGGTGCCGCTTTTCCCTTTTAACTGGGGACATTAAAAATAAACAGTTAAATGATTGAAAATGTACAACTGCTTGTGTCTTCCTTTTTGAAAAGGAGCTAATACCAGCTCAGTGTTTTGGAACTGATGCCTAGCAATGTGTTACCTGTTTTTATCTCTTCAGAGAGGTGGGGAGGGGAGGCTGGAGCCACTCCCCTGCATCCCAGGAGATAAAGGTGAATGCAATGAGGGCTTGAAGCAAATGTGTGGGAGTCTCAGCCGCCCAGAGCACGGAGCCCAGCCTGCTTGCTGTCTACCAATGCTTTGAATTTATTTTCCGCCTCTGGGGAAGCTGCTGTTGACTGTGTCCATTAAGCGGGCTTGCAGGATGTCTGCTGACCCCAGGTTCCTTCTCCCCCGAGGAAGCCCCACTGCCTCAGAGAGCAGCAGAGGTGTGCTGCTTCCCAGGGCTTCCCCAGTCCAGAGGGAGTGTGTTGGGGGGAAGTGGGCTCTGGGCTGGGACATAGGGGCATACCTCCGGGACACAGAGCACGACCCTCTGTTTGCCGACTCTCTGATTCTCTGGCTTGAGGAGCAATGAGGAAAATCAGAATGAAGAATACGTGCCCCCTGAATTGTCTGGGATTAATTAGGAGACTGATAATGCACAGTGTGTGCCTAGGATGAAAATGAGTTATAGTCTCGTTACTAATACAGCTGGGTGGATGATTAGTATATAAAACAAGGCCACTTCTCAATAAGCCAGAGGTCATTAGGTGTCCCCATAGGGTGACTTAAGCCAACCTTGTATGTGTGAGGAATTCCCACTGATTTACCAGGGAGTAAGAGCCAGCAAATCAAAGACGTTTTGCCTAGTTTAGTAAACAAAATGCAAAGACCCTGCATGGTGCTTGTGTTTGTTGTTTTTTTTTCCTCATAGAAAATATTTTCCATGGAATTGAACACCAACATTAAAAGTAAAAAGGGGGTGGGAAGAAGAAACCTAAAACCAATGTAAGTTGGAAGCAAACTAGTATTCATTTCCTGTAGAGGAATTTTATACTTTTTAATGGAGTTACTGTGGCTTTTTATTTCAGTATAAGGTGAAGAGTCAAAGTATGAGGATTTAAGGCTTCCAAGTGTGTGCAGTTATATGAACAGACCCTTAAATTTGCCAGCACGCCCCAGGCACTGCTCCTGCATAACTAATGTCTCCCTCACCAGGGCCAGGGCAGAGGGCCCTTTGACTCCCCTGGAAGTTATGCAGGGATAAGGGGAGTGTCAGGAATGCAGGATTAGGCCCCATAATTGAAGCTGTCATTAGCTGAAGAGGCAGGCGGGCTTGTGAGCCTTTCCAAGTTTGCATTTAATACAAGATGAAGATACGGCTCCTTTGGTGTAAAGGGGGCAGAGGGAATTTCTGCAAGTTGGCAATATCTACCCCCTGCCACCACCTTTTTAAGTTGGTTTGTTCTACAACCTTCATTATGCTCTTCTTAGTAGATCCCAGAAATCATCCTTTACAGGATTTTATCTTTTGAGGAAGGCCAGCTGGAACCTTGTGAAATGATTCCCATTCAGCATGCAGCCACAGATAGTACCAATAGCAAGGATGAAATATTCAGCCACAGATAGTACCAATAGCAAGGATGAAATATTATTTTTGTAAATTACATGTGGATGCAGCAGTGCCACTTAGACACTCCTTATTGGATGATAAGAATAGAGACCATGGGGCTGAGCATCCTCTGAGGCATAAACAACCAGGAAAAGGAAAGACCTTAAGGCTGTGGGGAGAAGAGTTTACTGTGATCATTCCTCATATCCATGCAAGAGGCATTCTAAGTACACCTATTCCTTTTCTATTTAATTTTCTTTTTACTGTGGTAAAATATAAATAACAAATTTAGCATTTTTAGGTGGACAATTCAATGGCATTAAGTACATTCACATCATTGGGCAACCATCACCACATCCATCTCTAGACCTTTTCCATCTTTCCATACTGAAACGCTACTCATTCAACAACAACTTCTTCCAGGCTCTGGTCACTGCATCCTTCCAGCCCCTGGTAACCTCTATTCTACGTTCTGTTTCTATGAATTTAACTACTCCAGGTACCTCATATAAGTGAAATCACACTATATTGTTCTCTTTGTGCCTGCCTTATTTCACTTCATATAACGTCTTCAAGGTTCATCCATGTTGTAGCATGTACTAGAATTCCATTCTTTTTTAAGCCTGCATAGTATTCTGTTGTAGGTACATACTATCTTTTGTTTATCCATTCAGCCATCTATGAACACTTGTGTTGCTTTCACTTTTTGGTCATTGTGAATAATGCTACTATGAACATGGGTCTATAAATATTTCCTCCAGACTCTGCCTTCAATTGTTTTGAGCATATACCAAGAAGTAGAATTTCCAGATCATACAGTAATTCTATTTCTGATTTTTTGGAGAGGCTCCATACTGTTTTCCATAGCACTTGCACCATTTTACATTTCCACTAACTGTGCAGAAGGGTTCCAATGTCTCTACATCCTCACCAACACTTGGTATTTTCAGCTGGCTTTTTTGTTGTTGTTAGTAGCCATCCTAATGGATGTGAGGTGGTATCTCATCGTGGTTTTGATTTGCATTTCCCTAATGATTAGTGAATCTGAGCATTTTTTCATGTGCTTGTGTATATTCATTCCAGTCCTCACTTCAGTTCTTTGGGGTGTATATCAGAAGTGGAAGTATGAACCACTCAAACGTTGGAGTAGCCCCCATAAAGACTTGCTGGGCAATACTTTGAGTGGGTTATGACAAACCCTGAGGGCATAAGAAAACTTCAATCAACCAGAATTCTAAGAGGTAGAGAATATTCTGGCTAACAGAGGATTAATTAGATCTTTTCATGTTTGTTTCAATCATGCTTACTAAACTTCTTCCCAAAATATTTTATTCTGTTTCTTAGATGGGTTCCACAACCTGTCCTAGGAGAATTTTCATTATCCTAGAGGAATAGTATAGCATGACCACCTGGCAACTAGATGCTTAATGTGCTATCCTGGAGTTTTAGATGAGAAGCATCAAATATGTTTAGCCATGTTATAGGCCAAAAGGTAACGGTTGCATAGGACTGTGAACCTGGAGTCAGTTAAGGATTTGGGGATGTGGTTTCAGAATAAAAGGTCTGTAGCTCTTCTTTCTGGCAGTGACTGGAGAGCAGGGCCTGTTGTCTATTAAGGCCACTCCTAGTTCATGAAAATAAAACCATGTCAACTTCATATAAAAGAATGTTTATCTTTCTGGTTCTCCTAGGAGGGAATCGGAGGGGCCAGGCTGGGAAAGTGTCTTGTTGATCCAAATGTGGTAGCATACCATTGATGTTTCCATGGAAAAGAAAATTGTGTTCAACATTCATCTTTTGTTTCTCCTCATTGCAAATGAGGAATAAGGCAGTTCTACATTTATTCATAATGATATCCCTAGCACCACTCTAGTGCCAGGTCATAGTATGTGATCAATAACTATTTATTCAATGATCAGTGATGCCTGCTCCTTTAAAAGACTGCCCTGTTACACCTCATTCCCGTGTAATGTCAAGATGGTAGTTCTCTATCCACATTGGGATAGAGAGTTTGGCTGGCCAAGCTGGGTCCCAGGTGTTGCTAGTGTAGACAGGCCCACTTTTCACCCCTTATTTGCACCTGTTTGTGACTGTTCCTTTAACTGCATGGGTGACATTTTCTTTGGGAAAGAGGCAGAAGGAAAAGGGAGATATTGGCTAGCATGCAGGAACAGCTCTTTTGAGTCTGGTCTGGCAGACAGGGTTTGAACCCACGCCTAGAGGAATGAGAGCCGGAGCACAGGAGAGCTGCTCTCCTGAGAAGGTGAGATTCTGGCATGGATCCACTGCTTTGGGGCCCAGGTGATCCTGTAGCCATGGAAGCTTCTATCCTCCTCTTCCCTGCAAGGATCCGCAGCCTGCTCTGGGCACATCACAGATGGCAGCCTGGGTGGGAAATGGCGCTCTGGGGACTCTCATTGTCCTGGGGCAGCAGGGGCTCCTTTAGGCAGCTCTATGGGAGCCATAGAGGAAGGAAAGGAAGAAGACGCAGGAGAGGAAAGAAATGCGGACACCTGGTGCCCACCGAAGCTCCAACAACAAACTGCAGACTCGTGCAAGCTCCTTTCTGGAGATATGCAGGGTTCAAAATCATAGCTTGTTGTGTGTGTGTGTATAATCACCAGCTGGTGAGACCTGGGTTGTATTTATTTGTGCTCCAAATTACTACCTTTGTACCTACAAGCAACCAAGCACAAAATAGATACCCACTTCCATAGCAAATAGATAAGGAAAGGACAAACTCCACACCAAAAAGTCATCTATAATTCTAAACAGATTTATCCACAGCTGGGTACAAAGAATGGTCTTTGTGTCAAATAAAAATCCCAGGTTTGAATAATGATGATAGTAATAGCAGACACTTTTTCACAGTGTTTCCTGTATGAAAGATACAATTCTGAGAAATTTATATGTTTTAATTAATCCTCCCAACAGTCCTATGAGATAAGGTATCTTACTACAGCCACTGTACAGAAGAGGAAACTGAGGCTCAGAGAAGTTAAGGAAAATCACACAGTCAGTATGTGGCAGAGTTGGGATTCAAACCCAAGAAGATGGCTTTATACCATCATGAGATATGATAAAGATATCAGCTTCATTGAGTTATAATTTACATACCATAAAACCCTTTAAAGTGTATAATTCAGCAATTTTTAGTATGTTCAAAGTTGTACAACCATCGCCACTATCTAATTTTAGAACACTTTTATCACCCCAAAAGAAGCTTGAGATCCATTAGCATTACTCCCCATTCCCTCTTCCCCCTCCTCGTAACCACTAATCTACCTTCTGTCTCTACAAGTTTGCCTATTCCATGTTGCACATAAATGGAATCATATAATACGTAGTCGTTGTGTCTGGCTTGTTTTTCAGTTAGCAAGATGCTTTCAAGGCTCAACCATGGTGTAGTATGTATCAGAATGTCAATCCTTTTTATGGTCAAATGATATCCCATTGTATAGTTATACCACATTTTGCTTATCCATTCGTTAGTTGATAGACATTTGGGTTGTCTCCACTTTGTGGCTCTGATGAGTAATGTTCCTATGAACCAACTACGCTGTATTGCCTAACAAAAGCGTATTTAAAAAAATAAAACCAGAATATATTTCACATATGATGACTAATAAGTTAATTTTCTGGAAGATTCAAGGATTGCCTCTCCAAAGCCAGGCAGGCACTCCTGTGCCTATCTGTATTTAAGGGGCTGATAAAGGTGGCAGAGATGATACCAGATGATGTATATAAAAGTGCTTTCTAAAACTTTAAAGCATCAGTCCAAATATTGGTCATGAATAACATGAGCTTGTCCAACGACTTGAGAGTTCTAGTTAGAGGATCGTTAGATGACTAATTGAGGTTTTATTGTTAAAAACACTATTTATTTTAAAAGGTTCTATGCTGTGTTAACTGGGAGGCAGGAAAGGGCCCACTTTGTGTCCACAGCCAGTCACAATGGGCTGTTCCATAAATGTCATCGCACGTCCCAGGGATACTAGTTTCTCTGCTACCATATTCCTCTTTCCTATTTGTTATTCACTTTTGCTATCTTATTGATCATTCCTCATATAAAGAAAAGGAAATTTTAAACCCTCTAATCCAGTTAGGAATATGTTTAGCTGCATATATCAGAAAACGTAACAGTGACTTAAACAGAATTGTATTTTCTGACGTAACAAGACATCTGAAAGCTGCTTTGGCCTCCTTGGTGTCGGGACCAATGTCTCTGTGCTGATTTTAACCTTTCTCTCATGTTCACAAGAGGCTTCCTCACCTTGAGCGGTCATGTCTGTGTTCAAGACAGAAAAGGGGCTTGGGTAGGGGTGGTGTCAGGAGAGCTGAAACTCTCTAAGAAGCCTCCAGCTGACTTGTGCTTCTGTCTCGTTGGCCAGGAGAT